TTTATTAAAGGGAAACAAACTTTGTATACCCAAATGTTCTATACGTGAATTGCTTGTGTTAGAATCATATTGTGGGGGACTTATAGGGCATTTTGGGATTCATAAGACATATGATATGCTTGCTGAACATTTCTTTTAGCCACATGTGCGTAGAGATGTAGAAAAATTGTGTGGTGTGTGTATTGCATGTAAGCAAGATAAGCCTAAATCTATGCCTCATGGTCTTTATATGCCTTTACCTGTACCTACTTTAGCTTGGACTGATATTTCTATAGATTTGTGATTGGATTGCCCAAGACAAAGCGTCGTCGGGATAGTATTTTTGTTGTTGTGGATAGGTTTAGTAAGATGGCACATTTCATTGCATGCCATAACAGCGATGACGTTGTCCATGTAGTTGAGTTATTTTTCAGGGAGGTTGTGAGATTGCATGGGTGCCATGCACCATTGTCTTAGATCGTGATGCCAAGTTCCTTTCTCATTTTTGGCATGTTCTATAGAGTAAGCTTGGTACAAAGTTGCTGTACTCCACTACCTGTCATCCCCAGACGGATGGCCAGACTGAGGTAGTCAATAGAACTCTAGGTACTTTACTTCGAGCGGTGTGAGGTAGTCAATAGAACTCTAGGTACTTTACTTCGAGCGGTGGTTGGTAAGAATCTCAAAACCTGGGAGGATTGTTTGCCTTTTATTGAATTTGCTTATAATAGGTCTATACATTCTTCTAGTGGTTATAGTCCATTTGAGCCTGTGAATGGTTTTAATCCTTTGATTGTGCTTGATTTGTCTCCTTTGCCTTTGAATGAAATTGCTAACTTGGATGCTGAAAAGATGAAAAGAAGGCTGAATTAGTCAGGGAGATACATGCTAAGGCCAGGGCTCATATAGACATGAAGAACAAAAGCTATGCTGATCGTGCCAACAAGAGAAGGAGGCGTGTGGTATTTCAACCTAGAGATTGGGTTTGGGTGCACATGAGGAAGGAAAGATTCCCAAACCAATGGAAGGGAAAGCTTACTGCCCGAGGTGATGGACCTTTTCAAGTGTTGGAGAGGATCAATGACAATGCCTACAGGATTGATCTACTAGGTGAGTATGGCGTGTCTACTACCTTTAATGTTTCTGACCTTTCTCCATTTGATTTTGATTCAGATTCATATTTGAGGACAAATCTTTTTGAGGAAGGAAGGAATGATACAGATTAAGGGAGTAAGATGAAGGATCCTCTATCTCTACCTGCCGGGAAGAGCTCGTGCAACCAAGTTACGTGCAGCCTTGAATGCATTTGTTCAAGAACAAATCGCATTGGAGCTTTAAGATCATAGTTATGGAAGATGTGAGATTGAACTTGAAGAAGCACCAAAGTTTGTTATGGTGCTTGAGGCATGCAAAGAGGCTACCTATTGATGCATTTTACATGTTCTATACTTAGGCAAGCCCATTTGTCCATTTTGCTTAAATTCTTTTAGTGGACTTAATTAATTAGTGTAAGGCTGGTTGGGCTTATTTTCCAGAGTTGGGCCAGCCTTAGATTAGTTAATATTTAAGTTACTCTTATTTTAATTAGTTAGCTTGAGCTTTGTATTTAATTAAGCCCATATGGACCATATTGGGTTAGGCCTAGGTTAGTTTAATTAAAAGTTAATTAGGTTTAGCTTTTAGGGTATTTATATTGTTTTTGTAAGAGCTGCACGGTAGCCAACTAGATCATCAATTAAAATCAAACGTGATTTTTTTTTCTTTCTTTCAAGAGAAAGTCGTGCACTTCTTTGATTAAATGCACACCAAACTATCCTTAGTAATTAAGATTGTGAGTTCTACAAGATTAATTGCGCCAAGAATTTTAGATTTGTTTTCAAGAGCACTTGAAGGTAAGTTTCTGATTCTTGTTTTAAATTCCTTGCTTTCTCTCTTCAAGAGTACTTGGGGGTTCAGGGATTGACTAAGTTCCTTGAGCAAAACCCAAGATAAAAAAGAAGGAAGAATAATCTTGACTTCCAGCCGGATCTTTCTTCTAGGGTTTTCAAATTTTTGCTTTTCTTAATCTGAGTAGTTCCTTAGCCTTCTTGATGATGTCTAAATCTTATCTCATTCTTTTTATAGTGCAGGTGATGATATGAGGGCATTCTAGACATTCTCTGACTAAATCTCTTGCTTTTAGTGTCACGGAGGAGATAATACAATCTGTGCCACGGTTGTGCTTTTAGTGCTAGCTCTATGATTTGGCAAATACACGGCCTGACATACAGGCGAACAGATAAAAGAGGTTCTTTAGTTGGAACCCAGCTGAAATAAATGCTCGGTGTCTGTGCCATATATTGGATTTACATGACCGATCGATGTGTTGTGGATTTTGCACTGAGTCTTTTGACTTGTTGGTGGAGAATACACAGCTGGTTGATTAGTCGTGTATTTTATAAGAATGTCTCTGATTCTCAACTGGATAAAGCAGGACCAGTGGACCGGTCATGAATTTCGTCGCTAGACCTTCCCTTTGTAGAATGGTTCAAAATGATTGAAATGCCCATTGCTTTAGGGTTTTCTCCCTTATAAAGGTGGGACCTACACTATAAGACAAAGCAAATGCAAAATATATATAATGCATGCAAAAACTAACTTTAATTTATTAAAAGTCCCTAAAATTGGACTAAACTAGAAGATTAAAGATATAAATATGTAAGCATGAAATGCACACATCAAATGAGTCAACCAAGCATGAATTTGTTTAAAAAATGGAGCTCTCTAATTTGAATACTGACCTCTCTCCACTTCTTCATAAATATCTGGAGCTAAAAAAAGGAATTTTAAAGTGATTTAAATTATGTTAGAAAGTAGACACCTGGAGCTTTCTAGCGATATATCACATGCCCAATTTGAGTGAGAATTAAGGTTTATATAGCGATTTGAAAAGTTTGTTGCTCTAATGCTGAATAAAAGACATGACAGATCAACGGTCATCCATCGAGTCGTGCTTTAGAGCTCGAAGTCAGGAGTTATCATGCAAAAAGCATGGCACCGCAAATGATTGTGCAAAAAGGCATAGGCAGATAAACAATACTTGATCGTAAGCAGCAGCAAAAATGGGCCAACTTGGAATTTTTCAACTAAACTCATCCAAAATAACCCTATCACCTATACAAGAGGGAGAGAATGGCTAAAACAAGAAGGGGAGGCCATTTGCCCCTTTAGGGCCTAGAACTAAGAATCAAAATCCTAGTTTTAAGATTTCAAAGGAGGATTCATCAAGACTTTGAGATCTGAAGGTTTCTTCAACAAGAGGAGGGAGATTGCAGTATCAAGAGGAAATCTTAAGCATCATTTGAGTTTATTCTTACTCCACACTGTCTCTTTATATTGTATCTTGCTTATTTTGTTATGAGTTCCTTTATTCTTCATTTTCTTGTAATGATTCCATGCATATATTAGATTACAACCTTTTTTAGTGTTGGGTTAGCACAAATTAGGTCTAATGCGTTTACAAATGATGTTTTCTTTTATTAATGAATGGTTATACTCTTTGATTCAACTTTGGTGAGCTTAATGCCTATGAATATGATGGATCCCATATTTGTATAATTTTAGATGTGTAGATGATGGATTGAAAGTTGAAATCTAGCATCAGAATGACTAATTGTTGAACCTGAGATTTGAACCTAGAGATAGGCTAGAACTCTTGAGGATTAAAGAGAGCCATAGAGATTAATGGGCTAAAATCATAACTAAAACAAAAAAAGTAGGTAATTTTATATTTATGCACGCTTATGTCGCTCGATGGAGGGTATAGATATTGGAACAACCCTTCTTCAAGATATAGTTATTCTTAATTTTTGAAAGGTCATTGACAAATCATGTTAGGTTAATATAGTACAACCTGACACTAGACTTTTAACATTTATTTAGTTTCTGTAATTTACCAATTATCAATTGTGTTTTTGCACTTCAATTAGTAGTTTATTTCATTTATAAACCCATTTTGAATTCTAGATAATTATAACATAGATGTCAAGTACTCAACAATCTAATCTCTGTGGGATCGATACTGTTTTATATTACTTGCACGACCCGCATACTTGCGGTATGTGAGATCGGGATCAATGACATATCATTTGAAGAACTCTAGTGTTGAAGACAATATGTTACACCAAATATAGTCAATGCGCGATGCAATAGACCCCAAACCCAATTTTATTGATTAATATGCTATAATAAAAAAATTTTATTGGTCGATGCTCAAAGCCTTCATGTAATAACATGCCTTCCAAATAAAAGCAAATCAACTGATTAGCCATCTTAAAATTAACAAATTGTTTGATTTTATAATCTTCACCATGTAAACTTATGATGCATTAAAAACCATGATAATTTACATAGATAAATGGGTTGTATATGGGTCAAAATAGGTGACTTATATAACAAGTATAACTCACTTAGTACATATATCATATGTGAAATTATTTCTTTATCCTTAATTAAATGGGTTAAACGAGTTACGTGAGTCAATTCATGGTACAACTTGTTTAATCTCATATTATATATGAATCATCCATTTATAACACGAACTCATTTAGATCTAATATTAATCTACTTAATTTTCATGCTAAACGAATTACGTTCTCGTATTATGATCCATTTTGACATAATTGGTCATAATCCATTTTGACACTATTGGTCATAGTTATTCTCAAAAATTAGAAGGGACAAATTTAGAAATCTAAATATTTTTACCCTTAATTAATAAGTAGAGTTATCTAATCTTCTCAATTTTATTGGAGTTGGACCTTACAAAATTTAAAATATATATATTTTTAAATATGAGTATCAGATATCCTTTTTTTTCAAAATGAGACTTATCTCACTTGAAAACTCGGTATTGATGTTGCCGTATTCCAAATTGCTGGAGGTGCTTGTGAGATCGGAGTTGCTTGAGTAGCCATTAAACCCACCAAGACAGTTGTAAAATTATTATATGCCTCAGCTAGCATAGCAGTTTTTTCCTTTTTTTTTTTTTTTTTTTTTTTTTTTCATTTTTTTATTCTTAAATTTAACATGTATATCAAAACGATGGTTCGTCTCCAAGCAAAAGTTCCCTAAAAATAACCTCGCACAAGGCCTTCTCATGAATCATCAAATGGCCACCATCTGGAACTTCATGGTATTTGATCCAAGGCAGTTTCTTAACAACAAATCGCTGCAATTCAAACGGTACAAGCTTGTCTTCATGACCTTCCCACAAGTAGACACGAGCCTCATTGGTTGGAAATGGATTCTTCAGCTCCATTGGGTCAAATTCCCATTTCCCAAAATGTACTATCATGTCTCTATGCAGTGATTCATGCACTCCTTGCTGCCGTATCTTATGCTATAATCACAAATAATCAAACCCAAACCTGTCACTACCACATCCAATTGATAATGGAATAAAAATAAATAATATGCCAATACTGGTTAGTAGTCGATAGAGGTGTAAACGAGTCGAGTCGACCTCGAACCCGCCAAATTCGAATTTCGCTCGATAGAATTTAGCTCGGTTCGAAACTTAACTGGTCTAAAAATTTTAGACTCGAGCTGGACTTGAGTTCAACTTGAAAAATCAGAAGAGAAAATGAAAGGATACCTCATCAGGATTTGGTACTTGAGACATTTCTTTTATAATTTCTAAATCTCTTTTGTTTAGTAATATTGGATGTCTTTGCATGATAGAAGAATAAGGGAACAATTTCTGAGTCATCCACCAATACACAAGTCGAGGAAAGTGATGTGCAATTGTCAATTTGACTTGGTCTCTCTTAAGTTGCTTCTTAAAGGCCTCATTTACCAATTTAGGAGGAAAAGAAGGCCACCAGAAATTGATCACTGGAACCACAAGAGTCGCACCAGCTAGTCTGCACCCAGTCTCACAATAAGTTGATTGACATTGAATCTTAAATCATAATATATAATCTTATAATCACATCACAAGGTTAATGGATGAAGATGATGAAATAAGAAAAGAGTGTACTACCTGTGCGGTATATACTTGAGACAAGCCCAAATAGAGTAAGTTCCAATTGAAACTCCAATTACATGAAACTTAGGACCCAATTGCAATTGATCAGCAAGTTCTTGAATGTCAAATGCTTCACTCTTTACTGACCTCCTTGGGTTTGGATCACTTTCTCCATATCCTGCTCTGTCAAAAGTCAGGATATATACGCCTAACTCTTCCATCACCTCCTACATTTATTAAAATAATTAATTATAATTCCTTCAATTATTAAAAAAAAATTAGTTTCGTTTCGATAAATGTTATTATGAAATCAATGTGAACTTAGATTTGCAATTAAATGTAAAATTATAAAAGAGAACATCTATGTCTACACAATAACCCGTTAAATTAATCAAATTAAATTGAATTGATTGATTTAGTTTATTTCAAAATTTTCCATTTAATTATTATTTTAGTAGAAAAAACCGAAATTTTTTTATTCGATTTGAATTTTAGAAAACTTTAAAACAAGCTGCTTTAATTTAAAAAGTAAGTTAAATTCGAAAAATCAAATAAAATGGATGAATTTGATTTGGTTCAATATTATACCCAATTTGATTTGACACAATTTTTTTATACAAAAATCTCATTTATTTAGTTTACCTTGATTCAGCTCAATTTACATCAAATCAACCAAAAAATCAGCCATAATATAGTCTCAAATATATTCTAAATAATCATTCAATCATTTTGAATAATAAACTATTCAAATGAACTCTGGAGAGGCTTCAAATTCTTAATCATATGATTTAGTTTGATTTTAAAATTTTAATTTGATTTAGATTTTAATAGAAATTAAAATTAAAATTTTTTTTTGTTAAACATCCAAAAGCAATACTTTAATTGAAAAAGTAAGTCAATTTTGAAAAAATTAAATAGAACCGATTTGATTTAGTTCAATTCTATATACAAGTGGATTCGATATAGTTTTCTATACTAAAATTTAATTTATTTAATTTGAATTGATTCGATTTGATTTAAATCAATTAACATAATATCTATCCTAAATAATGTCAAATTCTAAACACTCAGTCAAAATCATTTCCAATAATGAACTATTTAATGAACTCTTGAAGAGATTTCAAATTCTTATGCTAAGACAACTTATATTACAATAGAAAAGATTTATCAATAATACACCCAACAAATTTATTAGTGACAAGTATAAACAGTACAGCAAAGTACTTTCCAATTAGAAAATAAAAAAAATAAAAAAAAGAAAAAAAGAAATCCAACGTAGAAGAAGTATAGAAATAATGCTTACTTGAGATAGTGGCAAATAGATGTCCTTGGAACTGTCAAAGCCATGAACAAGAATGACCTTCTGCTTTGCAATCTCTTTTGGAACACCCCTCTCTTTATAGGACAAATACCTTCCATCACTAAGCCTAATTCTTGGTGAAGTAATAAGAGGGCCATTTTCTGACCCACAAATCTTTGGAGGTGGAGGCCTTATTCTTTTGTATCCAAACACTGCAAGACTCACCACTAAGACTGCTGCTGCCACAGCCATCATCTCTGAAATGCACAAGATAATTTTTTTTGACAATAAACCAAAAGAATGATAGAAAGAAAGATGATTATGTGAAGTCTCTGTAGAAACTAATTACCCAGAAAAACTACTTTCTCTATAAAGAAAATTTTTTATGGTTTGATTCACAACCTTTAACTCCTAAAGCTGCTTTAAATGATTATTAGTTGTCTGGTGTTTATGTATCTACAATTCCTATATTTGACTAGTAGTTAGTAATTGCACTAACCTTACCAACTTGTCTTTAGTATGTTTTCCCCAAAGACTTAAAATCTTTTATATTAGTTAATTAATAACTTGAAACTGCAACTGAAATTCCAACTTCTAGCAAATTCAAATAATCAGTTCATTTCTACAAATGCTGCAATTTTTTAAAGTTTATTAGAGTTGATGGGACATCCACCCTTTACCTACCAGCAAGTATTATTGGTTATACGTGTATAACTAATTTTCAAAATGTTGTGACTAACATTTTTCTTTTAAACTATTATTTAGCATTAATGTTGATATGCAATTACTCTTTTCCCTTTTTTTTTCCCAATTTATCCAAGTAAGATTATGATACTTCAATAGTTATTTTAGGTATTAACAGTTATTCAACTGAAATTTCTTAAAGTTGAAAGCTTCATTATACGAGGAATACCAACTGCACTCACATAATCTTAAAAAATAATTACAATTAGTCTGGAAAGGAGGGTGTTGACAATCAACAAGATTGTTACATGACCAAATTTCTATCTGTTATATACAGAAAACAGAAAAATATTGTAACAGAAAGTTTTACTTATTGCATATGGCATCAAAAATTTTTTCAAACATATCTATAATTACAGAAACTACTGTCTCATCCAAGCAAAAGTGATCTGAAAATTTCTTCACATAAATCAGTCCTGAAGATCAATAAATGCCCAGTATCAGGAACCTCATGATATCGAATCCAAGGAAGCTTCTCGACAATGTATCGATTTATTTTATAAGGGATGACTCTGTCTTCATAACCTTGCCAAATGTGGACTGCGCCGTCATTGTTAGGGAAAGGATTACTTATATTTAAAGGATCAAATTCCCACTTGGCATAACCTGCAATTATGTCTCTATGAAGTGATTCGTATTCCCCTTGCTGTCGAACCTTTTCCTGCATCCAGAAATATAACAGATTGTTAGAATATCTGCTGCAAAATCTTAAAAATTAGCTAACATTAAATCCAATAAACTAAGAATGCAGAAAATGTAATTAACTACCTGACCAACACTTGGAGTTTCTGACAACTTTTTAATCATCTCCAAATCTTGGGGGCAAAAGATTGCCATATTTCCTTCCATAATACTTAAAGAAGGAAACCATTTTTGTGTCATCCACCAGTAGAATAACCATGGTGTATGATGTGCAATACTAAATGTCCTCTGATCAGATTTTTGAAGCCTATGGAAAGCATCTCTGGCTATATCTGCAGGAAGACAAGACCACCAATAGTGTACAAATGGAACTACAAGGGCAGCTCCAGCCAATCTGTGAATTTAACAACATTTTGGTATTAATAACTCAAAGACAAGAATTCACAATTTTAAAATAAAAATAAAAGGATGGCAGTTAAAAGTATTATGCCTGTGTGGTATGTATTTTAGGCAACCATATATTGGGTAGGCTCCCATTGAGAGTCCAATTACATAAAATTTTGAACTAATCTGCAATTTGTCTGCTAGTTCTTGAATATCATATGCTTCAGTCTTTACAGAACGTGATGGATATGGATCGCTCTCTCCATAGCCTGCTCTATCGAAGAAAAGGAAATATATTCTCAACTCTTCTATAAGTTCCTGAAAATCAAAGTACAATACTGAATTAATAAAATTCAAAGTATATAATAATAGTGATGTTAAAGAGATACTCATTTAAGAAGCAAATTTATGCAGCTCTCTGTACCTGAGGCACAGGTAAATTCAGATCCTTTGAGCTGTCAAAGCCATGAACGACAATGATTTTGTACTGAGCTTCATCTTTAGGAATTCCCATTTCTCTGTAAGCTATATGCCTACCATCACTGAGTTTGACTCTTGGTGAAGTAATAGGAGGCCCACCCGGTGACCCACATATATTTGGAGGGGGTGGCTTCAGTGACTTATAAGCCAAACCCAGAAGACCTACAGCTACTGCTACTGCTATTGGTACAAGCATTTCTGGATGCAAACAGAAGAAATATGCATTATCTTTCTGTTAACTGCAAAAATTGCAGCTGCGAAACTATACTGAAAGTATCAACCCATCACAAATCTTTCAACCAAAATTATTTCATTTTAATTTTAAACATAAAGCAATCGCAAAGAATCGTTAATCAACAGAGTTGGTAAGAGTGAATTTAAGGACTGATTTGAACTTGAACAATAAATTAATTACTCTCTTTTATACTGATTTTCAAGAAATTTGCACATTCAATACCAGAATCCTCTTATTAGATGTTATTTTGATTATGCCAATACAAATCAATCAAACTCTTCACAGATAGCAAAAACAGATATTCCGAAACAAGCAAATTTACATTGGATGGATTTCCTTATAGTCATCTGTCAAAATACAAAATTTATGCATCTGGTATTAATTCAATTTTGAAATTTACCAGAATATGAATCGAAAAACAGAAATCTTTGCTTTTCACCAAATTAAGATCAAGAAATTCCTTGATCAATACACAAAACACATAAATGAATCAAAAAAATTCTATTCTACTATGTATTTTCATTTTTTTTTTTTTTTTTTTTTTTTTTTTTTTATCTAGCGTGTGCTCTCGCTGAGCAGCTGATGTCTTCTTGACTGTCCATTTACCGTAGTCTATATGCTTATTTTACACTATCATTATCACATACTGCCAAAAGAGAGACACGAACAAAATGACCCATTGAAGAATGTGATCCACATAGTGAGACGGTGAATATTTACACGTACACCTATTGGTGTTTTTTCCCTAAAACTAGATTGAAATCAAAACGTGCACTATTTGAATATCAAATATCATTTGTCGTTGTACCATAGTTGGAAAGAAGCTTGTTAGAGCTTGACCTAGGAGAGTTTGCCGTTTACCAGGGTTGGAAAGAAGCTTGTTAGAGCTTGGCCCGGGTTGCCGCGCATCGAATCAACTTTTAGAAGTTGAAAAGGTAATGATAAACTGGGTGAAAGGTTAGAACTCTGATGCAACTTGCACTTCAATATATGGATGATTTGGATCGCTGCAAACTAAAGAACAAAGGGGCACAGCCGTGCCATATTCAACACGCCCATGCCAGCCTTTGGAAGTCTAGGACGCTAGACAGGCCCAAGCCTAAAAAGCACAAGCACGCCGATGTCACACCCAGCCTGCTCGTGCTAGCCTCTAGAAGTCCAAGCACGCCGATGCCGAAGCCAACGAGTCCAGTTACGTTTCGAGTGCCGGCACGCTTGTGCCACCTACCTTGCTAGGGTTTTGTCCAGTTACGACTTTTGTGTTATTTTTAGGGTTATTATATCTTAGCCTAAATATAAAAATAGGCTATTTTGTTATTTTGGAGGATGACAATTCTTTGATCATTATTCAAATTCAATAAACTTTCTTGGGAGTTTAATTCCTTATTTCTTTCGTCAGATCAAACAACATTGATCAAAACTCCTGACAGAGTATAATCGTTATTTCTCATTCACATAACCGTTCTGCATCAGTTGGTATGAGAGTCGAAAGGCAAAAGTATCTCCATGGCCGACAATCATGAGACACAACTTACCGCCATAGAGGCGAGGTTCGAAGAACTATCCGAACAGATTAGATAGTTGACTCTCGTTATTCAACAAGGCAACCCACAACTTGCAGCTACAACAGCAGCTCCGAATCCACCACAACCAGATTGTGCAAGACGCCAAAATCATTATAATGGAGGCCGAGATTACAGAGGCAATGGCAACAATTTCATGAAGGATACAAGATAAAGGTAGACCTTCAACCCTTCTCAAGATCACTAGACATAGAAAGCACTCTTGACTGGATAGCGGAGGTCGAACGATTTTTTGAGATTATGAATGTCGAGGATGAACATAAAGTTTCCATTGTGGCTTATAAACTGCAAGGTGGTGCAGCAGCATGGTGGCATTCTGTTCAAAATGAATGCCATCGTCGAAGGATTGACCAGTGCGAGATTGAATTTTAATGAAACAGCTGATTAAGCAATGATTTTTGCCCAGAGATCACTTTAAAATTCTGTACAATAAATACCATGATCATTTATAGGGAAGAGTTTTTAAGATTGCAGGCTCGATGTGACAATTGTGAAATTGAATCCCAGCAAGTGGCTCATTATTAGAGGGGATTGAATCATGATATCATATGTATGATGGGTGTATCTGCAATTTTCACTTTGGCAGATGCAATTGAGATGGCCAAACCTACGGAAGATAGAATTAATTGGCAGCCTCGGCAACCACCTAATTGTAACCAGAATTTCAGGCAACCCTATTCATCCGGAACTCAGCAGTTTAGTAGAAATTCCGATGGACAGAACTCAAGAGCAGCCACTCCTACCAATAACTAGAGTTCACAGTAGTTCACAACAGAAGAAAAGAAAGTCTCCCAGGGAAAGGCTCCTATGAAAGACAGAAACAACAAACTGAATCCGTTTCAAAAGCCAATCGGAGATCATTGTTATCGATGTAGAAAAATAGGGGCATACATCTAATATATGTCCAGAACGTAGGGGGCCAATGATGGATGTCGACAGGTGAATGTAGTTGATAAGGTGACTGAGGTTGAAGAGGTAGAAAATGAAGATGATGGATCCCTGTCCAGTTCTGAAGATGGAGAAGTTACATATGTCGTTCAGAAAACTTTGTGTTCTCCAAAACAGGAAAGTGACAATCAACGAAGGAAAATTTTCCAAGCTAAATGTCGGGTTGGTGAAGCGATGTGCCGACTCATTATCGACAGTTGTAGTTGTGAAAATTTGATAGTAAAACAGCTGGTAATTTACCCTCAGAACCACATCCTTCACCATACAAGGTAGGGTGGATTAAAGAGGGTCCAACGATTGAAGTAAACAGGATTTGAAAGGTTCCTATATCAATGGGGAAAGTCATACTCAGACTCCGTTAGTTGTGATGTTGTGGATATGGATGCTTGTGGAGGCACTAGTACCCCCCACCAGTCAAGAAGTTGCTAGATGAGTTTCAAGTTGTAGTTGAAGAACCATCTACACTTCCATCTTTGCAGGATATTCAACATCAGATTGATTTTATCCCTGGATTGAAGATACCAAACCTACCCCATTATAAAATGAATCCAAAGGAGAGCCAGATCCTTCAAGAACAGGTACAAGAATATCCTTGAAGAAAGGACATATCCGGGAGAGCATTAGTCCTTGTGGGGTTCCTGCCTCATTGGTACCAAAGAAGGATGAGACCTGGAGAATGTGTGTGGATAGCAGGACTGTCAATAAGATCATGGTGCAGTATCAATTCCCTATTCCTCGTCTGGAGGACATGTTGGACCAACTGTCAGGATCTATAGTGTTTTCTAAAATAGATCTTCATAGTGGGTATCATCAAATTCAAATTAAAGAGGGAGATGAATGGAAGACTGCCTTCAAGACCACGGAAGGATTATATGAGTGGTTGGTTATGCCGTTTAAGTTGAGTAATGCACCGAGCATGTTCATGCGACTTATGACTTAGGTTTTGCATCCTTTCTTACACAAATTTGTGGTTGTTTATTTTAATAACATCTTAATTTTCAGTTACAGCGAGGAAGAAAACCTTCAACACCTTCAACAGGTGTTGGATGCTTTGCAAAAAAACGAGTTGTACATCAACCTTAAGAAGTGCTGTTTTATGACAGAGCGAATTTTGTTTCTTGGCTATATTGTTAGCTCGGAAGGAATTCATGTTGATAACAGAAAAATTGAGGCCATCCAAAACTGGCCTATTCCCAAGAACATCACTAAAGTTCGCAGCTTTCATGGACTTGCTACTTTCTATAGGTGGTTCATCAGGAACTTTAGTAGCATTATCACTCCTATCATCGATTGTTTGAAGAAAGAGAGAGTTCGTCAGTTTATATGGACCGAAGCTGCAAACAAAAGCTTTGAATAGATTAAAGATAAGCTTACTTCTGCCCCTATTCTTGCTTTACCTGATTTTGATAAATTGTTTGAGGTTGATTGTGATGCTTGTGGGATTGAAATTGGTGGTGTTTTGACTCAATCTGGAAAGCTTATTGCATTCTTTAGTGAGAAATTAAATGAAGTTGGGCAGAAATGGTCCACTTATGAGCAGAATTGTATGCAGTTTTCCGAGCTTTCAAAACTTGGGAACATTACTTATTGGGGCATGAGTTCATTATTTACCCTGATCATCAAGCTTTAACTCATTTTCAAACTCAAAAGAAAGTGAGCAAGATGCATTGGGGGCATGAGTTCATTATTTTACCCTGTTAGATCATCAAGCTTTAACTCATTTTCAAACTCAAAAGGAAAGTGAGCAAGATGCATGCGCATTGGGCAACATATTTTGTGCTTTTCATTAGTGTCATTAAGCACAAATCATTATTTTGGTGCTTTTCATTATGTCATTAAGCACAAATCAAGTACTTGTAATACGGTTGCGGATGCTTTGAGTAGGAGAGCAGCCTTGTTGATCACAATTAGGTAAGACATTATGGGGTTCGAATTTCTTAAAGATCTATATGCCTCGAATGAAGATTTTGCTGACATATGGGCAAAAATTAATGCTAAACAACCTACCGACGGTTTCTTGGTTCATGACGGATATTTATTCAAGGAAAACAGGTTGTGCATCCCTCGGTCTTCCCTATGGGAAAAGTTATTCCGAGAAGTCCATGGTGGGGGATTTAGTGGACACCTGGGGCGAGAAAAAACAATTACGGGGTTAGAGGCTCGTTTCTATTGGCCACAATTAAAGAACGAAGCAGGGAAGTTAGTCTAGAAATGCTCAATTTGCCAGACACAAAAGGGTCATTCTCAAAACACTGGTCTTTACACTCCGTTGACTATTCCGAAACAACCTTGGGAGGACTTATCTATGGATTTTGTGTTGGGTTTACCTCGAACTCAACGCGGTGTTGATTCTATTTTTGTTATTGTTGACAGATTCTCCAAGATGGCACATTTTATTCCTTGCAGACAAACTAATGATGCTTCACACATAGTGAAGTTATTCTTCCAAGAGATTGTTCGGTTGCATGGAATTCCCAAATTAATTAGTGACAGAGGCACTCATTTTTGTAATAGAGCTGTGAAGGCATTATTAAAGCTCTTGGAATTCCAAATCTGCTAAAAATGTTTGACTTGATAAAATCTATAACAGCTTTAGAATCATCAGTTCTGGTGGCTTTAGCTTCCACCCATCACCCATTTAGAAACATAATCAACATAAGCAATTATTATAAGATAAAACCAATAAGAAGAAGGAAAATGGAACCATTGAAATCAATACCCCACACATAAAAAAATCTCACATTACAAGTATTGGGTTTGAATCATTTCATTTTCTACGAAGATTTATACTTCCTTTTCTTAATATTGTTCACAAATTGTGCTGAAAAATTATAAGCA